ATGTTGGATTTTGAAAGAACATGAGAGATTACTACTCAGCCTGACAAAGAAAAACTGACACCTGAAGAGGTTGAAAAACTAGTCAAGATCAAGGTTGTACATGTGGAAGGAAAGTTGGGAAAACAATTCAAGTCTGTTTCTACTGCAGAGCATTTTCCATTTCTCCAGGCTACTTCCCCACTCCTACCTGCTGTGTTTTTTTTTTTTTTTTTTTTTTTTTTTTTTTTTGGAGATGGAGTCTCACTCTGTTGCCCAGGCTGCTGGAGTGCAGTGGCAGGATCTTGGCTCACTGCAAGCTCTGCCTCCCGGGTTCACACCATTCTCCTGCCTCAGCCTCTGGAGTAGCTGGGACTACAGGCACCCGCCACCATGCCCAGCTAAATTTTTTTGCATTTTTTAGTAGAGATGGGGTTTCACCATATTAGCCAGGATGGTCTCAATCTTCTGACCTTGTGATCTGGCCGCCTCAGCCTCCCAAAGTACTGGGATTACAGGTATGAGCCACTGCACCTGGCCCCTACCTGCTTTTTGTTGTAATGGTTGGAAAACCTTTTTTAACAAAAAAATACTGAATGTAGAGTTGTGAGACTTGTGTTTTGACTTGCTCTTAAGAACAAGGTCTCATTTTTTAAAAATATCACTGTCTTTATACCTCTTTCTCACAGCACTCCTGCCAGAATTTATACATTTACATGCAACAAATGTTATTGCTAATAAATTAACTCTACAATTTATCTTCCAAATTCAGTTTTTTGAAGACAGTATACCATAATTGTAAGTAGATAAAGACATACTTAGAGGAAAGTACCAGCTATCCAGTAAATATATATTATCTTTTATATTCAGGGCCTCTGAGTTTCCAAATTGCCCTAAGGAAACTGGTGACAATGAATGCCATCTGCAGAGAAAATCTGCAATAACACATAATTCCATTTCAGTTCTTCAGAGAGTTTTATTCTCATTTTGTCTATTACCTGGTAACCAGGGAAGCATATCACTGAGACGCTTTAGGAAAAACAAATGTAAAATATATGCTTCGAAACACATTGGTACAAGTGATGGACATTTTAATAACCATTATTCTTAGATTATTTTCTCTTTAGCAGATTTTAAGTTTTGTAACTATATCCGTAATAAAAAGGTTTTTTCTTATCATCAAGTACCACGTAGGGGAGCTTATATTGAGGTCATGTATCATAAATGTTTATAAGGTTAATAAGGACCACCCAATGTATTCTTCTAGAAGCATCTTTAACATTTATCCTTTTGTGTAAAACAAACAAAATATTTGTTATGCACAAATATCTCTGGAAGGATTCACAAAAATATAACAGTGATTAAAGGCAATAGTGATTCCACCTGAGAGGGGAACTTTCAGAGACAGAGCTTGTAGGTAGATATTTGTATTCTCTTTTGTACTGCTTGAATTTTTTTCCTGTTTTAAAAAGCAGTAAAAATAATTAAGCCATATCTATTTACAACTGTATTTTGAATGCAAAAAAAAAAATTGTACCTAGAAAACCTGATAGACTCTGCTCAAAAGCTCCTAGATCTGACAAACAACTTCTGCAAGGTTTCAGGATACAAAATCAATGTAGAAAAATCAGTTGCACTTCTTTGCACCAACAACATCCAAGCTAAGAGCCACATCAAGAACACAATCTCATTCACAATAGCCACCAAAAGAATAAAATACCTAGGAATACAGCTAACCAGAGAGGTGAAAGAGCTCTACAATGAGAATTATAAAACACTGCTCAAAGAAATCACAGATGACACAAACAAATTTTTAAAAATTCTATGCTCATGGATAGAAATAATCAATATTGTTAAAATGGCCACATTTCCCAAAGCAATCTACAGATTCAATGCTATTCCTATCAAACTACCAATGACATTCTTCACAGAATTAGAAAATACTATTTTAAAATTCATATGGAACCAAAAAAGAGCCTAAATACTCAAGGCCATCCTAAGTAAAAAGAACAAAGCTTAAGGCATCACATCACCCACCCTCAAACTATACTACAAAACTACAGTAACCAAAACAGCATGGTACTGGTACAAAAATAGACACATAGACCACTGGAACAGAATAGAGAGACCAGAAACAATGCTGCACTCCTACAACCATCTGATCTTCAACAATGTCGACAAAAATAAGCAATGGGGAAAGATTCCCTATTCAATAAATGGTGCTGGGATAACTGGCTAGCCACATGCAGAAGATTGAAACTGGACTCTTTCCTTACACCATATATAAAAATCAACTTAAGATGGGTTAAAGACTTGAATGTAAAACCTAAAACTATAAAAACCCTGGGACATAACCTAGGAAATACCATCCTGGACATAGGCACTGGCAAAGATTTCATGAAGAAGAAAATAAAAGCAATTGTAACAAAAGAAAAAACTAACAAATGAAACCTAATTAAACTAAAGAGCTTCCACAGAGCAAAAGAAACTATCAACAGAGTAAACAGACAGAATGAAAGAAATATCTCTCAGAGGGGAGAAATATCTCTCACAGAATGCGAAGGACTATTTGCACATATGCATCTGGCAAAGGTCTAATATCCAGAATCTATAAGGAATGTAAACAAATTAACAAGCAAAAAACAAACAGCACCATTAAAAAGTGGGCAAAGGACATGAACAGACATTTTTCAAAAGACATACATGCAGCCAACAAGCATATGAAAAAATGTTCAACATCACTAACCATCAGAGAAATGCAAATTAAAACCACAATGAGATACCATCTCATACCAGTCAGGATGGCTATTATTAATAAGTCAAAAAATAACAGATGCTGGTGAGGTTGTAGAAAAAAGGAAATGCTCAAACACAGCTGGTGGGAATGTAAATTAGTTCAGCCACTGTGGAAAGCAGTTTGGTAATTTCTCAAAGAACTTAAAATAGAACTACCGTTTAATCCAGCAGTCCCATTATTGGATATATACCCAAAGAAATATAAATCATTTTACCATAAAGACACATACACCCATATGTTCATCACCACACTATTCACAATAGCAAAGACATAAAATTGACATAGATGCCATTAATGGTAGACTGGGTAAAGAAAATGTGGTACATACATGCCATGGAATACTACACAGCCATGAAAAATAATGAGATCATAACCTTTGCAGCAACATAGATGGAGCTGGAGGCCTTTATCCTAAGCAAACTAATGCAGGAACAGAAAACTAAACACTGCATATTGTGGCTTATAAGTGGGATCTAAACATTGAGTACACAGACACCAGGGCCTACTTAATAGTGAAGGGTGAGAGTGGGGGTGAGGATTGCAAAACTACTTATCAGGTACTATGCTTATTACCCTGGTGATAAAATAATCTGTATGCCAAATCCCCATGACACACAGTTTACCTATATAACAAACCTGCACATGTACCCCTGAAACTAAAGTAAAAGTTAATAAATAAATAAGTAAATGCTAAACTATGCATATATCTTTACATTTTCCCCTATCTACCCTTTTTACCATAGATCCCTCCCCCAGGCTGTATGCATACAGGATCCTATGATCTCCTTATAAGTGTCATGTGCTAAACAATTATGCCACTGGAGCTATGGCTCATCTCCTAGTAAGTATATCTTGGCACTGAGCCTTATTTTCCAAAAGCAGAAAGGAAAATCTAGTACTCATCCATTCCCATCTTCTCTTCCAGAGCCTCCTTATAGACAATATCTCTTTTCAGATACTCAAAACATGAAATATTAGGAATCACATTTCCTTTCCTAGAAAACAAAGCCCCTATCTAACCATACCCCTACCATTAAAAAAACTGGCTAACCTCTGGACCTCCAGGAGACACTAAGCCACTTCCCTATGAAAGGGGAGGTACCATCACATTCTCTTAAGGACATTCAGAGTGACTCTGTGTCACCTATAACACTAGCGAGGAAAAATTCAATACTCCTGGATTGGGACCAGTCTCTCCTTTCACACCCTGGAGGTAGAGTTAGTTAACCAGTTGGAAGACTGGAGCCAGTGGACAACAAATCTCAATTTGGAAAAGCAAATTAAGCAAAAGTCCCAAGCAGGGAAGACGAAATATCATTCTCCTTTTTTCTCCATCCAGATCAGTAGGACGCATCAACCTAAGAACCTAGGAAATTGTTACTGCTTAGAATACTCAAACTAAGCCAATCTATCACTGATAACGCTGGCAGATTTATCCTCTATCTGCAATATTTTTTGTTGTTTTATTTTTCAGTTGGTTTTGAATTGGGGTAGAGAAGGAATCTGAAATCTACCAAAAACCCTAACAGAAATATTATCATGTTAAATGTATATATTGGTGATAAAACGCACCCTAATTTCAGAAACATTAAAATGCCTTGGATTGAGGGATTTTGAATCAAAGAAGAAGCATGTATTCTTATAACCCAATCAGTTCATACTCACTCCTCCTTCAATTGTTGAATTCCCTTGGCATACTTTGTCATCCCAAATCTAGCCACTCCTGAAAGCATGTTTGGTAACCAATAATCAGATAGTGGTAGATCATATTTCAGTGTCTTAAACAAGAAAAATAATAATCATGCCAACCCATAAAAAATCCTCACTAATCATACCAAATATCAGTAAAACATTCTTCAATGACTATGTAATAACTCAACAGGAATTTCTACCTAGTATAAAATGTTTAATACACCAATAGCATCATCAATGAAGCCCAATAAACTTATTGGCTAAGCCTGTTTGTGAACAGTATGCGTGGATAATGGACAGTATCAGGTGAGAATTTCTTCTTCACTATAAAAACATATTTTAAGATAAATAATAAAATAACGTCTTAAAGATAATAAATTAAACCCCAAGTTAGTATCCCCAGGAACCTGGCAGGAGAAAACATGAGGCTGATGGAAAGATAAATCCTCAGATACCATAAAACATATTTAGACAATGGAGCCAAAAAGACATGATCTTATTGAGAAAAAAAATCTAAGATGGAGACACCACTCACCCACATTCTCTCTGTCTCTCCTTTCTTCCCTCCTTCATTCACTAAAAGAAAATTGTGGAAAGAGATTAGCATCCGTTCAATGGACCATACTGCAAGCACATTAACTCCTCATAGCATTGTTACAAGATAGGTATGATTGTCCCTAGTTTGGAAATAAAACATTGAGACTCAGAAAGGTTAAGTTACTTGCCTATAAGTCAGGTCACAATGTAGCCAGTAAATGGCAGAACTGAGATCCACATCCTGTCTCACCTAAAATCCCTAGTTTTTCCCATTAATTCCACCTTTTTAGTTGTTCAGGCCAAAAGTCTTGGAGTCATCCTTGGCTCTCTCTTTCTCTGACAATTCACATCTGACCTCTCAGCAATCTTGTTGGCTTTACGTCCAAATATATTCAAAATCTACCCAGCCCCAAGGACTCCTCTGCGACCATTCTGTCCATGCTATATCATCCACTCTTCCCAGGATGACTGCAAGGCAGCCTAGTCTCCCTGCTCCTGCTCTTAACCCCTAGTCGGTTTTTAACACGTCAGAGTGATCCTAATCTACCCTAAGTCAGGTCATATCTCTCCTCTGCTCAAAGTTCTTCAAGGGCCTCCCAGAGTCATGCACAGAGGCATATGAGACCTGGGTTCATCCACACGCCCACTCCACATACCGTCTGACTCACTGCCTGCCCCTCTGTCTCACTCACTCCACCCCAACATTTTGAACACATCAGGCTTGCTCCCACCCTACAGTTATTGTACTAGTTGTTCCCTCTGTCTGGTACGTTCTTCCCTCATACGGCCACCTGATTCCTTCCCTCTTTGGGATTTTACTAAAATGTCACTTTCTCAATGAAGTCTACCCTGAAGTCACAGGTCTCCCCCACCTCATCCCTGATCCCCCTCACTCTGCTTTATTTTCCCGTGGCACTTACCCTCTCCAATATTCTGTGGAATGTATTGTGTATACGGTTTGTTGTCTTTCTCTACCCACTGTAATGTAAACTTCATGAAGTAAGGATTTGGGAGGGGGTTTTTGTTATTGTTCACAGATATATCAAGAGTCTAGAACAGTACCTGGCACACTGCAGGTGCTCAATAAATATTTATTGTTGCATACTGTCTCCAGGCCTTCCACTACCACATCAGTAGTTACTTCTTCATCTTTTAAAATACCTTTGGGTCATACAGCTCTATGAGAATCTGATGAAAGCTGTGGACTCTCTTCCCAGGAAAACACAAATGCATATTCAAACAAGTCCTTGTTTGTTTCAGTAGGTCCATGAACTTTCTGAAGACCACCATGGTGATCTAAAGCCATAAAGATATAGGCTACTTAGGTGCCACTGATAGGCCATATAGACACCGTGAATGGAGCAATAGTTTCTTTGCAGTGGAAGGCGCAAAGAACCAGGTGTCCTGTGTTATGGTAAGTGCTGGAGCAGGAGCTTCCAGAATGAGGACTTAGTAGACATAAGAGAGGCTTGGAATAATATCATGCTGGAACCATAGCAGCAGGTAAGTGGATAGAACATTCAGTGGTCTTCAAACCACCTCCTCTTTCCTTCTTCTTTGCTACTGTCATGCTGACTACCCCCTATCCCTTTACCAAATCTTGCCCTGGACTGCATTAAAGTTAGATCAGGAAGCAGGAGCTGGTCTCCCCTTGGTTGGGAAAGCTCCATAGATAGTTTTTTGGGTCTACAGTGGTGAGGGGGAAAGACACTACCAAGGAGAGGAAATTGGAAAGGTAAGAAAATTCCAGTGGCCTCCCAGCTGGGACCGTCATTCCCAATTGTTCATTCATTCATGTGTGGGTGTGACTACATCAGAGACTTCCTTAAGAAAGAGGAAAATAAATACATTTAACGGCTTTTTACTCTTCAGAGAAAAAAATACCTCTACAAATATATAATCAGAATCAATCAGAAGTGTAAAGCACTAAGAAATGCAAAAATATGTTTGTTAGAACACAAAGGATGTTTTAGAGAAGATTAATGGTCTCAGTTTTCTTTGCAATGATACCTTAAAATAGTAGACCATTGATTGAAAAATTCATGAACTGAACAGACAGAAATATTTGGTCTTTCATGTTCCATTTGCTTTCTTGAAACAGAAGAATCACTCAGGTAAATAATAAAATGAGCAGAGATGAGAGGGGGTGAAGGCACCATTCCAGTAATTGGAAAGCAAACACAAAATTCAACACAACCAGCCTCTTTCAAGTACGCTACTACAGTAGCTCTGAGAGCAGAATATAATGAAACTGAACTGAATAACTGCTTTAAATGTCTGCTTAAAGGGCCAGTGTGAAGAGAAGAGGCTGGAAAGTCCACTGATGCAAAGGAAGCAGCAGTGTGAGGGCTCAGGCAGAGTCTGTCAAGTGAGAGGGGGATGCAGCAAGATTGAGAAGATTGAAGAATCTGCCGGATCAAAAAAGCCATTGATTTCAGTAGTTAAAATTCCCCAAATATTGAAATGTTACAGTGAGGATGTCCAGGTGAATAGTAATAGTATGGATTCTTCTCAGAACCAGATGTGTAAAATCGAAGTTGAAAAAAAATCCCACAGACTGAAGATAAATAAACAGTGTATTGTTCTGTTTCTGTAAGTGACTGACAGTCCTGCGTTCCCTGTGGATGGCCCTGAACTGGGCTCTTCCCTGCAGCCCCATAATAACATTTGTTAGAAACAGGAACACCCAGTCCTGGAGAAGCACCCCCATGTTTACATGGGCCTCTCACATCCATGATCTCATCCAGCCTCAAACAGTCCTGTGTCACCACCTTAGGGGTGTGGTGACAAGGCAAGGTCACTAAGCTCATAGGGTGACTTCCCTGGATCACACAATGTGAAACTGTCAAACTGTCCACTCAAAAATAAATAGGTCAGAGAACTTCATTAATGTCATATGTCTACAATCTCTTCTTCCAAGCTCCAAATTTATAACCCTAGTGAAATCCAGGCTTTACAGTGGCTCCAGGAGTTTCCGAACAAGGCAGTCCTTTGAAACACACTTTAAGAAATCTTCCCTCAGGTTTTAGATCAGTGATTCTCAAAGTGTGGTCTGTGAGCCTTTGGCATCAATACTAGTAGAGAACCCATCAGAAACACAAATTCTTGGACCTGCACCCCAGACATACTGAAATGGGAATAGTTAGGTGGTGCCCAGCAATCAGTGTTTTAACAGGCCCTCCAGGTGATGCTGATGCCCACCCAAATTAGGAAGTTCTGACTTACATGATTGAGTTTGTGTAGTAGGGAGGATAGACTTCCTGTGACATGGATGTCAGGTCCCATTTGCACACAGGGAATTCTGAATCAGGTTCTATAGGGAGAGTAGCCTTTGGAAGCAATCATAACAGTTTTGAGAGCCTATCAAAAGGCTATTCTAAGTCAAACCCCACAAAACTAGGTAAATTTGCCACCAAAATACTACCGAGAGACCATTAATGAGTGATCAGGACTTGTTTCAAAGAAAAACTAAAGGATAACAACAGAACGAATACTACTAACTTTGAAACAAACCAATGGCAAACCACCAAGCTAATTTTTCTGAAAATTTCCTATTCTCCCACAACTGAGGACAACCATTTAAAGAGCTACTAGGAAAAAAAAAAAAATGGCTCCACCTCTGAAATACCAGTGACATCATGGCATCAGGGCAGCAACAGCATTTATACAACATTGTACTGACTGTGAAGCATTTTCACATTTCATGCTTGGCACTACCAACTATCAGCCAGGGAAGGTAGGATGGAAATCACTGGCCTCATTTATAGATGAAAATATTGAGTCCTACTAAACTTTTTAAAAGCTAAATGATCTGACATTCTGAAATAGGCAAAACTATGGAGACAGTAAAAAAGAACCAGTGGTTGCCAGAGTTTGGGAAGGGGAGAGAGGGATGAAGAGGCAGAATACAGAGGATTTTTAGGGCAGGAAAACTGCACTGTATACTGTAATGCTGGATACATGGCAGTATACATTTAACCAAACACACAGAATATACACCTATAGTGAACCCAAATGTCAATTACAGACTTTAGGTGATTATGATGTGTCAGTGTAGGTTGGTTAACTGTAACAAATGTACTACTCTAGTGGGGATGTTGATAGTAGGAGAGGCTATGCATGTGTGGGGCTAGGGAATATATGGAAAATCTCTGTATCTTCATCTCGGTTTTCCTGTGGAACTAAAGCTGCTATTTTTAAGTGTATTTTTTAAAAAGCTAAATGAATTAACAAGACTATCCAAATAATTAGAGGCAGAGCCAGGATTAGAACCCAGGTTTCAGACTTCAATCCAGACTCCTATATTGATTCCTATGACCTACTTCCTATAGATTCCTAAGAACCTTGCTGCGGGGCATATGACTGGGAGGGCACCTGGGGCATTTCTGTGTAGAGGACTATGTGCTCGCAAATGAGGCATTCCCGATAAGTCCTGCTCTTGCAAACGAAGCAGGGCGTTGGGGGCTTGTTTATGTGTAAACATCTTGAAAATCCAGAAAGTCAAGGAAAGGTCAGAAAAACAACAATGTGTCTTGTGACTTGGCAACATTCCACAAACGACTATATAAAATAAAGCAGAGCGCGCCACTGGAGGCGGCCGCCATGTTTGTCTTGTCTTGTGTTGTCTTGTGTGTTCATTCCTTTGTTTAGGAAACAGGCGGACCCCAACATCTCTGGATGAATAAGGCCCCTCCATCCCTCAACAGCAGCATAAGTGTGTGTGAAAAAGGAGAGGCGATGATTCTGGCAGTTCTGTAAAATTCATCCAGACATGGGAAAAATTTGAATGTTCTTAATTGTGTCCACAGTTGTACTGTGTCACATATAATATATATGTCATTCACATTTAATGTCAGAAATTTACATTATTATTTAGCATCTTGGTTATAGTTTTACCTTCTCAATTTTGTTTCTGGAGTCTAATATTAGACTTAATATCTATTCAGAAAATGTAAGCAACTTGGTGGGAGGGGAGAAATTCTTAGAAGCCTTTCAGAGGCTGGGAGAGTCCAACTTCAAATTCAATATTGGCCTTGGAT